AAAAAAATATATATATATATATATATATATATATATATATAAGTAAAACAAAAAAAGTAGCTGCCGCAAAGATTACATTAACTTTTACAACCGCATTGATGGAGTGTCGGAAAATTAAATTCCACTAGTTTTATACTTTTTCCAATAAAATCTATTTACTACCTCTCGAGTTGAAGATGGAGTTAAGGGCAAGTTAAAGAGATTAATCATACGCCGTAGAGTCAGGCTACGAGGAAATAATAGCGCTGAAAGTAGAAGTGTTGGTGAAAAAAAAATAATGATAAAAAAAAACAGAGGACGGAAAAAAAATTAAAAAAAAAACAAACTCACACGGCTTACTAGAGTTTATTAAATGCACTCTTTACAACAATCTCACTCAGTAATTTACGAAGGGCTTTTTTTAGTGTAAACTCACCCTCTGTGAAATTTGTTTTCATTTTTGTTTTTAGTTTTTTCTACTTCATTTCTTCATTTAACTTGTGCTTTTTTATTTACGGTTTTAAAAAACGCACACGAGGATTTTCATGGTCATCCTATATTCTATGTTATGGTTTTTTATTTCGATAGAAATGGAAAAATATTTTTATTTTTTTCCCTAACAGTAACCGAAGTTTAAACTGGTCAATTAATTTACCGCCAGGGAGTATATTTTTACTAACTGCTGTAGTTAAGTAGAGTTTTTATTATTTCTTTTTTATTTTTTGTGTCAGATCTGAATTAGAAATTTTTTAATTATTATAGAGTATTTTTAAAATTAAATTTTTAGAGTTTAATTTGCTGCGCTGGTCCGCAAATCAACGAATTCGGTCTTTTTAAGAATGTGTAATGACAGTCATGACCTTAGACCCGTAATATCACGTCAAGTATGTCAGAATGTTTTCCTTTGCGCACATGTATCAAATAAAACTATACAATAATATCAGACACGAGTTAAAAAAATTTTGATTCGAAAAAAAAATTATTTTTAACCCTTTTAATTATAATTTACATATTTATATTTAGTAACCACTTGTAAAATAGGATTTAAAAAATTAGTAGACGAATACCGTCAATTCAAGATTAAAAGGGTGAGTATGGAATAAAATAAAAAGAAAGAAGAAAAAGTATATATAAACGGAAATGTTTAGGTAAAAACACGGTATAAGAAAAATTGAGATGTAATTAAATCGGGCGTCGACGGGAATTGGGAGATAAAGGAGTAGGAGGATTATACGAGACGTCGTTAGCGAAAACGAGCAAGTCCTGTTAGCTGTTAGCTGTTAATACTGGTTGCTCCTGGCTCTGGCTCTGGTACTTTTGCTCCGGTCGGTGTACCTGAGCTATAACTATCCTCTTTTACACCCAACTCTCCGTTTTTCTATCTCTTGAACTTCCAGACTAGACTAGACGGATTCCAATGAACGGACGGATGAAAGAATCCGCGTTAAACGAAACCCGATATAGCTTAATCCGATCGAGATTTCGTTTTCCTTCCGTCTGTTTTGTTTTGTTATACTTTTTATTTCTTCACTTTTTCCACTTCCCTATTAGTTTTATTTCAACACTGCACTGGAGATTCCAGTTATTACCAAGCTGAAAAATAATAAAAAAATTAACGGGATAATAGTAATGAAGATAAATGTTTTTGTGTCATTTCTTCTCTTTATGTTAAATATTAATATATTTAATTTCATATAAAGAAAGACTAATAAGTCTTTTTAAAATTTAATTAAGATATTTTGAGCGTACAAATTTTTTTTTCTTTATTATAATTTTTTAAATTCAGAATATGTTAAAATTACATTGAAAAAATAGTATAGTGTGCAACTAGTGTAGGAAGACAAAAGAAAAAAATTGAAAGTTTAAGCTATATACAGTAAAAAACTTTTAAATGA